GTATTGTCTCCCATAAACAGACTAAATTGAACCGCGTCTGATGTTTCTATTTATTTTTGTATTCACTGCTTTCCAGGAGGAATCATCCATTCTCAAAATGTCTATGCGAAATTGTCTGCTTTTATCAAACGAATATAGAGCTCTTATTTGTCAAGGAAAACCATAAATAAACTTACTATAATAGTACATGTACTTTAATTACTAGTATTTCTACTGAAAGGATGAAGTGGGCCTACACTTTTCGCCCTTATATTTCCAGTCACATTTAAGGCCAAAGTCTGGATTCAACAATTGTTGTTGAGAAATGTACTGTATTTAAGATTTATCATCAATTCCATCCGAGGAAACTCAAGATGGAAATATAATGCAAAAGACAATTCAGAACATTGTGTTGTGTCACCGTTGTAACTGTGAAATATAAAGATACCTTTATAACATAACGTCCAAAAATAACGCCCTCGCGTCTTTTAATAACATCATGATTGCACATAAACTACAAAAATGTATTCCATACACTTTAGATATGACCAATCAAACCAGAGATGACATGAAGATGAACACTTTATGAATATTTAAATGCTTGTTTTCTACAGCGTGTTTATGGCGGGAAGCATAGGGTCCAGCAAAGGAAACTTTGATTTTGATCCGGTCTGATTTATTTATTTTTTTTAGAATAAAATTTAAAATAAACATTATTGTGATTACACCATTCTTCGATTCAACACATCAGAATTGCAAATTCTAGTTGTATTCCCCCATTTATCACTTTGTTTCTATTCTTTTTATAAATTTATCGCTAATTCATGACTTCCACATGGTATTTTTTGTGTCCACACTTTAGTATTAACGTTAATCTTAAAACGACTTTGTTATTTTTTTCTCAAAGAACTCAAGTGGACACATTGTAGACAAAATCCTCATAAAGCATAGAAATTGTTATTACGAGAAGTTCTTATTTCTATAGTCGACATTAATTCATCATTAATACCCTTTACAAGAAGATGATAACCTTTCCTCACAGGCACCAAATGTTATGTTTTCTTTTGAGCATATTCAGTACATTTTTTGAAGTTTGTTCGCAGATACATAGATGTATACTGTTTTGTCCTTAGTGTACTCATCAAAAACATATTTACATAATTTTCCAAGTCTTGATACTTTTTTCCGGGATAACAAGATTACAAATAACATCATTAGCTGATTTTATTGGATATATTTGACTGATACATGTCACATAACTAGCTGATTAGCTCATTCTTATATCCGAATATGTCGCCATGGTGTCACATAAACTCGAATATTGTTCTAATGACTTTTGTAAACATCTGGGGACCGAACTTGGCTGTCAACAATGCTAGACATGTTATATGTTACAAGCAATGATTACTTCGAATCGTAGATTGTTCACTTATGCTTCTGTGTATCGGGTGCAGTAATAAAAATAATGTTTTAGAAATGAACCTGAAAGAAAGACTTGCGCCAAAATTTAAAAGAATAAAACAAAACAGTGCTAAGATCATTTGTAATTTCAACCTTGGTAAAAATGACCGGTATTGAGAAGTTGTTTTTTCTTATCTTAGTTTTGTAAGGCACATTATTCCTCAGAAATTAATAAATGTTTTCTTTTTTAGAATAGCAAATATATTTATTATTGTTTATAATATTTTAGTAACTTATAGCATATCAGGTGTTTATCACAAGATGAAGGTTGTTGAATGTGAAATTATATGTCACAAAAGTAGCAAAATGTGAACAAAGTAGTATTTTGACTTCCATACAAGATACAAAAGTGTATTAAATCACTATAGTTATAGTAATCGCCATAAGGCACTAGAAGAAAAAGGATTCATTTAATTGACCAATAAGTAACTTTCTGAAACTGCAACAGGAACAAAATAGAATTAAAAGAAAAATGTCTCTTATTGTTACTTTTTCCAATAATCAGTATAAAGTGAGACTTACAACTTGATATCTTCGAGTAACTATTTTAACCGGGACCGCAAATAACTTGCTTTGAAAAAGAGGTTATTGTAACTATATCAACCGGGACCGCAAATAACTTGCTTTGAAAAAGAGGTTATTGTAACTATATCAACCGGGACCGCAAATAACTTGCTTTGAAAAAGAGGTTATTGTAACTATATCAACCGGGACCGCAAATAACTTGCTTTGAATTACAGGTTATTGTAACTATATCAACCGGGACCGCAAATAACTTGCTTTGAAAAAGAGGTTATAAATCAAATATAAAGAACAGCGCAGAAAATTGTCTTGTTATGCCAGTTTGAATTAAAAGGTCACCAGCTATGTAGTTATTTGAATGAAGAAATGACCGGATCAATAAATTATTGAGTCGTATTTATGAATTGTATAAGCATGATTGATTAAAATCGGAAGAAGTTTGACATTTGGTGACGCGAATATTCCCACGCTGCTTATAAATTTCTTCTATTGGCATTGCCAATTAATCTAAGATCAGAAACATTGTCCTATGAATAAAACGTATGTAACTTAAAGGCACATTATGCCTTAGAAATGCATATCTTTTTAATCCTCTAGAAATGTCAAAAATGTGTTTAAGAACTTTAAATAATGGATTTAGAACAAATTTACAGAATATCAATTATATAATAGCAATACTTCAACACATGCTACTTTATTTCCAGAAATTGTCAATGAAAAATTTACATAATGCACTATAGCATATCAACAACAATTAAAGCTCTAAAATATCAAGTCTTATTCAGTCACTTATCATTTCTAAAACAAAAGTATTTTGTTAAACTGTTTTAGATATTTGAATCGAAAATAGAATATCCTCTACATTCCTTCAGATATTTATGCCGCGAAGCAAATTTTATCAGGTGAATTCTTTCAGTAGTACATCAAAAATTCGATGTAACATTATAAGCATTATTTTATTGTCTTCATTGAATTGTCTTTATCGACATTGTCTGAGGAAAATCAGAACTTTATCATTAAAGTCCCAAGTGGCTATGAATACTTGATGTATTTGAAGTAGGCTAGAAGGATTAAAGAGGCAAAAGCAATTTCCCGACATAAAGTAGAATAATTTAGAATAATGTGTTCTCATTTATTTACTGATTGTCCGCAAACAATCTTTATGCTAGACTTTTTTTTATCAAATATGCAGTTACATAAAAGATAGCAGTTTAATAAACAGTAAATTGTTGATCAATATGTTTTGCCAATGCTGCCTCAATTTAACAATAGCGGTAAAGTATTCTTTTGTCATATATTGTTTTGTTTTATGCAGTTCTTTACCAACATTTTTAGAAATAGCCTGCAATCTGCTATAGTTTAATTGTTCCAGAAGTTGAATAACCTTCATCTTTCAAAATTATGTACTAACATTTTTCTACTTTCGAACAAATAATTACATTTTGTTTTCTCTTTCTCAACTAATAAAACTATAAATGAAAGTAGTTTTTACGATATTGTATGCAATAAAGATCTATCTATAAAAAACTGTTGTAAAAGCAGTCCAAACACTATACTTTAAAATGCATAATGAAGCAAATATAAGACATGAATATGATTCTAAAACGATTTTAACGTAGAGAATTCCTTTGCTATGGGTTGTATTTAATACCCGTCACCTTGCCGTCTTGATCTTTGTATTCATTAACACACCATTATATCATGCATTTTACATATAAAAACATTTCTTTACACCTGAGGAATAAAACCAAAACATCTTGGGTTATTTTTGCTATGTTTGTAACGTTGATACTTGTTCGTGTAATATTGTCAATTTTAGAAAAAAAATATTAAAATGACAATATTTTACTGTAATCGATTGATACAGTTCAAATGTCATATATCAGACTGTTCTGATAAACAAAACAATTTATAGTTTCTTTCCTAAGATTTTTTCAATGCGTTTGACAAATATCAGCGCAATTTTTATATCGTTTTCAATATTACAATTAATATTTAGGGAGCCAAAGTACAGTTTCACATTTACAAATCAAATGTAAAGCGATATCTCTTTCTGCATGCTTCTTGTAAAACTTGTATCTTAGTTTTTTTAACTAAAGTAATTCCGAAATACCAGTATGAACGAAATTGTTTGTACATTTACTTTAAAGAGTATGACATGTGCACAAAATCATTTCATAATTTAAAAGAACAATATTTATCTATGAAAACAAAGACATTATTTTTTACAACTCTTTCGAAACCCGACTTTATAAAATCTAATCAGCATCAGAAAACAACTTAAACTTAAACACCCAATATTTTACAGATGTCTTCAAAAATAAAACATCAACTATGATAATCTTCACAAGAGAAAATCACTCAATACAACTCAACCAATATCAACCAAATGTATCTTTCCAAACAGATATATAACACAACAACCAAATATAATGCAACAACCAAAACAACTTATTACAACCAATGAACCCTGATCAATTAAGATTTCAAAAATTTGATTCAACCAACTTCAACAAATCAACAAAATTCCCTTTAAAACAACAATATGCTCTTCTCTAAAAAAATGAACGCTACACCCTACATGTGTGCCTTCCCTAAGCTGATGTTAATTTAACGTTGTACAGAGAGTTTATACAAAAATGCAAACAGCAACAGATTTAAAAGATATATGATATTTACACTTTATCTGAAACAATGTATCGCTGTGGGGAATTATTAACTCGTTAAAAATATATATCTACAGATAAACTGCATGATTATTCTGGCATGCTAATTTTAGATAAATTATGAGATTGTTCTGTGTATTTTAGATAAATTATGAGATTGTTCTGTGTATTTTACATAAATTATGAGATTGTTCTGTGTATTTTAGATAAATTATTAGATTGTTCTGTGTATTTTAGATAAATTATGAGATTGTTCTGTGTATTTTAGATAAATTATGAGATTGTTCTGTGTATTTTAGATAAATTATGAGATTGTTCTGTGTATTTTAGATAAATTATGAGATTGTTCTGTGTATTTTAGATAAATTATGAGATTGTTCTGTGTATTTTAGGAACCAGAAACCTCCTATGTACAACCACAACGATATGACTGCAGCATTTTTAAGATGGCAAGGTTGACCTTGACGTGGATTATCATGATGCTTCAAGGTTTAGGTAAATATGTTACATTGTCATGATGCTTCAAGGTTTAGGTAAATATGTTACATTATCATGATGCTTCAAGGTTTAGGTAAATATGTTACATTATCATGATGCTTCAAGGTTTAGGTAAATATGTTACATTATCATGATGCTTCAAGGTTTAGGTAAATATGTTACATTATCATGATGCTTCAAGGTTTAGGTAAATATGTTACATTATCATGATGCTTCAAGGTTTAGGTAAATATGTTACATTATCATGATGCTTCAAGGTTTAGGTAAATATGTTACATTATCATGATGCTTCAAGGTTTAGGTAAATATGTTACATTATCATGATGCTTCAAGGTTTAGGTAAATATGTTACATTATCATGATGCTTCAAGGTTTAGGTAAATATGTTACATTGTTAAATAGATCAAATATAAGTTATTTGATTTTCTTATGCGAGAATTTATATCAAAATGTGTCAGATGCAAATGAATTTGTCTCTTGGGACAAGACAGTTCTTTTTTATATTTGATACTTTAATGTTCGGGGGGTTCTTTTGCTTGTTTGTTTTTAGGTGGGTTTATATATTATTTTTTCAAAGTTATGCCATAAGCAGTTACTTTTTATCTTCACAAGCACCTCGGATATAAAAGAAGGTCTTAAACATTTCTGCTCTTTGATATTTTTATCATCTCCTCGCTCAATAATGTGCAATAAAATAAGTGTTTCATTTGATAATCAGATATTTTTTCATTATTACATTTTCTGGTCGTAGTATGTATGTCATATGAAACAAATTAATCTAAAAATATTAAAACCTTTGTATTTATTACCTTTAATTCTTGGCTGAATTATCATAATAAAGCAATCAGGGTGTGAAATAGCGAAACACATTCCGACATGAACTAATCAAGTTTGATTGATCTTAAATGGGAACTGTATTTAGACGGTAAAATAAATGAAAATGAGTTAATGCATTAGTACATCATGATCTTATTATTTCCCTAAAACCATTTTTCTTCTTCTTTGACAGCTAGTAATCTGGGTTTAATCAGATATTCTCTTTTGCATGATGAACATGCACGACTGTTTTTGTTTTCAATTATAATGGGACGTAATGTGGAACTACGTTGAGTAGAAATTTCTTGATAGTAATGCAAGTACTGAATTAATGAAATTGTACCGACGTCAGATATATTGCTAGATTTAAACCAACTCCTTACTTAATTTTAAAAATAGTTCTTCTTTATTTTTTTAATTCATGAAGGTTTCATCTGATGTGTCAATACAATACATCTCCACAATCTTTAACCTTGCTTTGAAAAAAAATCCAAATCTGATTTAACTGCAAATGTTAACTTAATCAGTGTAACAAATAAATAATTTCCAATAACATATCCTGCACATCCGGTCATTTCATAGTGTGCAAAATTTTTACTTCCAATAATAATCGCAAGCATAATACTATTTGCATAAATGACAATAAGTTGACAAGTTAATTGTTTGCTGACAGCGATGTTATATGTTTATAGGATGTGATTATTATTATAAACACTGTCTGGAGTTTTTCTGGCTGACCTTTTCTTCTTTATTTGGTATACGTCAAGGCGTATTCAGTACATGTCCTTGTGCAAGAAGTCAATTTTTTTTTATTTCTGTAAGCGTTTATAAATAGAAAAGAATCTGTTTTCCAATTTTCAAAAAAGAAATCCAGAATTTTAAACGCTATAATTCATTGAAGGATAATTACTATTCTAACGAACTTACTTGTTGAACATTAACTTTCAAACAATATGAAAATGTTATATCTTATCCAATAACACCACCATCTTACACATAAGGACACAAATTGTGTATATGCACACAGGCGCGCGCACACACAAGCAAACAAACATACGTACACACATAAAAATACACAAATAAAAGTAGTGGTTTGTAATTTTTTAAAATAACATTATACGAGTATTTAAAGAATTCTTCAAGACGATAAAAGTCTTTGCATCAATATCAAGACTTGTAACTCAATGTTATTTTCAAATAATGAAAAAGCAAACATAACAGCGACAATATTTTTATATTCGATTTTTATACTATATTTGTTATTGATAAAAGAACAAATTTCCGAATATACTAAACTGGCTACCGAATATCACATTGTGGAGCAAAATACATGTATATAAAAAGTGGAAACTTAACAAAAAATTAATGTGACAAAAGTAGACAAAAGTCAGGACTCAATGTATATGTTTGCACTTAACATACAATGCTTTTTTATCTATTTTAGGTGAGGGTCTGAAATGTTTCAAATGTGACAACCTGAGGAATTCTGCATGTGGTGTGAACTTTAAATCATACCAGTTTCCGCCAGAAAATTGCCCAGGGTTCGAGTACAAGTGTGGCCTTCAACGACAAAGTCAAAGAGGTTGTCCATAAATTATCTTTGATAAAATGCATGAAGCACATCTTTCTTGTTAATTCTCTCAATGATTTACAAGAATGAACGACTGTTGACATTGCAACACTTACATTCAATTTAAAGCCAAAATTTGTAAAAAGAAACAACGTGATATATGTTCAATTGGTTAGTTTTATTTAGGGTGAAATAAAGTTTGTTTCCCAAAATGTGACTTAGAAACAAAGATATATGCATATGAACATGGACCTACAAATAACAGAGTGACAATCAGTTGATAGATAGCATAAACGGTTTTGAGTAAAGCTAAAGATATGGTCTTCCTACACTGCAAGTAGGGTTATGAATTCATTTATTTAAAATTTAGCAAAAAATATGATGGCTGATTTATGACATTCACCCTTCCCCCACGACCCCGCCAAGCGAAAAGTCGAGAATCAACAAGTTAAAATGGTGGGGACACGGAGCGAAAACATGCAAAATAGCGGGGGCGCGTGGCGAAGTTTAATAGATAAAACTTTGCCCCGCGGAGCGAAATTGAAGAAAATAAAACGGCGAGGGCACGGAGCGAAAACACGCTAATTAGCGCCACCGCTAATTGACATGTTTTTGATCCGCGCCCACACCATTTTAACTTGTTAATTCTCGACTTTTCGCTTGGTGGGGCGCGGGGTGAAAACAGGCTAACTAGCGGGGGCGCCGGGCGAAGTTTTATTTATTAAACTTTGTGTTTTCGCTCCGCGCACCCGCCGTTATCTTTTTCTTAAATCTCGCTCCGCTCATATAAGAACAAATCATACAAAACACCATTATTTATTACTTTATTTTCTATAATTATTTTTAATGTATTGAACAGAAATTCAACTAAAAATGTGTTTTGTTTTCTTACAGGAGATTATATAGGAATTATAAGAGATTGTTATAAGATAGGATCACTACAAATGGAAGATGAAAGCGACAAATGTCATCAGATATCATCCGAAGATAACAGCACATCGTTCTTATTGTGTTTATGTAGTGAAGACTTTTGTAATATAGCTTCAAGAACATCAACATGTAGTTATATAATGATTGTGATATCATTGGTATTATTACTTGGCCTAGTTCAACATCATCATGTAGTATAATACGAGTTTTGATGTCAAAGGTCATATGTATATCTTGACCTAATTATAAATGGACAATAGCAACGTGCCTAAAATTTACAATTGATTTTTTTTCATGGTATCCATTGATCACATTTACTATGATTCTTTTATACTCATTGTAATATTATAACATTTATAAAATTGTTTGTATAAAATGGCGATTTGCTCGTGTCATCTGATGAATGAATGTTATTTCTACAGAATCATAACTCATATTTTATTTCTCACGAGTCTAAAAGGGGTATAACTTTACTCGATATATTATTTGAAAAAACTAGACAGGAGAACGTTGACGTCTTTTTATCTTTTGACAATGTTATACTTACTCTAATACATTATTTGACGATAAAGCATTATTACATAATAGTCTATCAGGAAATTATATTTACTTTGAGAGAGCCCTAAGGGCTTGGTAAACAATTTATAATAATTTAGAAACTTTATTCAGCTTGAGATATGAGGCTTCTTTGTCATCTCTGTAAAATTTCATACTTTTAACAAGCCCATAGCTGTAAGTGGATTGGTCTACAATGGGCATATTGTCCATTTTTTTCAGAATTTGTTAAAAAAAAGCAATAAAAATGTGTCTTATAAAATCTTTCTTGGACAAAAAAAATTGATTAAGTTCTCAGTGATTAAGTATGAATATCCATAATGATGATTTATAAATAAAATTTTTGTTGTTGTATAATATTTTTTCCTGGAGCATTTTATCATCTGCTATTTTAAGAGATGTATCACACATTTGAAAACAACAGCCATATATGATTTTTGTTATCTGTTGTTATGTCCGATACTATAAAAACACATAATTGTTTGACAAATATTAATTTATAGACCAACAAACTTAAAATGTTTTAGCTTTCTACATGAATTACTTAACTCCATGTCATTTATTTGGACGATTTGCTCGTTCAAAAATAAACGTTATGGGTTATGTAATAGAAAGAGCACCGAAACACGAGGCTATCTGATTTGTACGAGGGGGCGTAGCCCCAGAGTATAAATCAGATTTCCGAGTGTTTTGGTGATCTTTCTCTTGTGTATCATAGTCAAACATGACAGCACGTTCTCTGTTGTCATAATATGAAACCCCAGGAAAAAAACCAATGAACGAGCATTTGAATATGATATTTCTGCCCCTTTCCTTTTATCTGCCGTCACAATAAGTAAACCCCAGGAAAAATGAACCAATCAACGGGCATTATCTGGAGTGCGGGTAACTGATACCTGCACTCCAGTTACCGCACTATGCATGTATATGTATACGATTTAACTCTGACACTTTTTCAACAGAAAGGTCCCCAAACTATGATACAAGTTAACTTTTGGATTTCTATGCTGTTTATATATGATAAATCAATTTGAACGAGGTGAAAGACTTTACATGAAACGTTTAGTTAATAACTATTTTTACTGCTGTGAGATTAAATTTATGACTAGTCACAGACTTCTGTTTTAAATATGTTTGTTCTGAAATGTACTGAAGATAAAGAAATAGAGAAAAGGTGAATCGCTAAAGAAAGACCAAAACGACAAAATTTAAAATGTTGCACGCTCGGTTTGATAGAGCCTGTTCTTTAAAGGTTCTGTCAAGTGCAAACTACCTTCCAAGTCCCCTGGCATCGGCTTAAGCAGAATTCAACATTTAAACATGAATGGTAAAATTTTGAATTTAGAAACATCCGCAAATGTAATCATAAGAAAGATGACGAATAAATTTTCTTAATTTAAGTAACATTGCATACAAAGATATCGGACATATTTAAGATTATGATAAAAAATAAAATTTGCCATTGAAAACTCAAATTCATAATAATTGAGAGAAAGTTATATATTTAAGTAAGTTATTAAATAGAATAAATTGTTTACGGATAGTTCGACAATTTTAACAAACGTAATGGTAAAAAAATAAGCTTTTTTTGATAAATAACTAATTTTAGACAGTTCTTTCAGATACCGGAAAATTATTTTTCTCTTTGATTAGGACTTCTATCTGGCGTTAGTTAAAGTACAATGTTTAAATGTCTAAATGAGTATGTCTGAGATATGCAATTTCAAGCAAATTACATTTAAGCACGATAGGCCGCATAATAATTTGTCAGACAAAACAATTACAGGAACATCTTTTGATTGATAGCAGGAATAGAAATCTATAAAAAGAAATTTCACTCTGTGACTCTTTCTGATACAATAGATATATATTAAATGTACGTTGTAATGAAAGAAAATCTAACAGGATTGACTGCTTTTTTTCTTTTATAAAGGAAAGACGATTTTCATGAAGATTATAAATTGTAAGCCAAACCAAATATCAGAATGTAAACTTATTAAGACTGCTTTTCTGAGTATATCAGTTTGTTTAATCTATGGCAATTTCTGCTTGCGAAAATAAATCAATGTCTTAAATTTAGGAACTACTTTGCAAAATGCACATTTGAAATATATATAACAGATATTATACTTTAAAATCAATGGATTTGTCACTCTTATTTGAGACAAACTTCTGATTATAACGAAACATGTATTATTGTCTTTTGGAGTTCATGTTTTATTTCTTCAGGTTTGTTTACAAACATAACCAACACAATAAAAACCTACATTTTTGTACTTTTATCTAAAGCATCAAATTATAAAATGTTCCTCTCTAAAATATTAATCACGAATTTTTCCTGTGTAATTATCTCCATTGTCTTTTCTAAGAAACTTCAGAACCATCCTTAGTATATTTGTAAAGAGATTGTATAGTTCTACGTAATAAATGGATATATAAAGAGATGGGGTTGTTCTACATAATAATTGAATAAAATTATGGTCCTTTAAGCAACAACAAATTTTTCTAAGAAAACGAAGATTAAAAAAATAAATGGCACGAAAATAGATTTAATAATATAATTTTTGATAATTACTAGTTCAGAGAAATGCCTTCTTGTATTTCAACGAATATGGCCAGTTTAGGAAAAAATCGGTCTTTCATATTTACTTTGTTCGCTATTGACAGAGAAGGATTTATTTGAATTAACAACTGGGTGACGTTGTGTTACCTTGCTTGCTGTAATATATGAAAATGACTACAGTTTGTAACATATTTGATACAAGTATGTGGTTGTTTATCCTTAATCAAAATATAGTTTCCGTTTGATAAACAATCACAAGTGAGATATAACAAGACTAAGTGTGTTACATATTATAACTTGTATTTCATAAAAAATACAATGAAATAATTTTCTAGTGTTCTAATAATAATGATAATGATCTTTTAAGCTAGGTGGTTCCTGTAATCTTGAATATTGTATAATCAAAATAAGTATATGTTGCCCGCTTTTAAAATGTGTCTTTTTACGTTTTTGTTTGTGACATATAGGCTTCTGACACCTTTTTAGAATTTTATTTTATTCCGTTCTGACCATTGTTTATTTTTCGGTAAGTGCACACGCATTCTTTTACTAAGGGACAATATGCCGCACGTTGAATGCTTCTGAAGCAGATATAAGAGGCGTAGACTGTAGCTTGCAAATTACAAATTCCGACGAACAAGTTCCATAATTATGCAAAATCATAGCAAGCCTACAGCATTTGCAATTTTGCCGTTCTGTACGTTTTGTTTCCTTTCCACCCTCTCTCTTATTTCTTTTTTAATTTGTTAACTAAGATGATGTAAATTTTATATTACTTTTCTTCATTAAATTTTATTTATTTTTTATATTATATTTTTTTCTCTTTTTTATTATTTTCCTTTTATCTTTTTAAAATTACTATTGTTTGTTGTTTTGTTTTGGTTTTGTTCTTTGTTGTATGTTGTTGTTTTGTAGTTGTTTTGTCTTGTTGATGTTTTTGTTTGTTTTTTTTATTTGTTGGTGTTTTTCTTTGTCGACGACCGCAATGATAAAGATAGAAAATCTATTTAAATCTTAGTCATTTTTATTTTAACTCTATTGTAAAACTATTTATTAAAAATTCAAGCAACCTATTTTGTCTTTATTAAACTAATCATTTCATAGTTCTTTTTTGGGAACTAACGAAATAAACAGTAGTAGTGTAAAGATTTATCTCCATAAAGCAGAACATTTATCTTCGTGTTTTACCTTATATATAATCATGTACAGATTAACACCAAAATAGCAAATTTGTGGTCATACTATTATTAGAAATCACAAATCAGTCATTTGCTTGAAAATAGAGAACAGAAGATAGAAGGCGGCGAATGAAAAATCGTTGTGTTTGCTGTATCTGTAAATTGAATGTCAAGTGGAACTTTGATTAAATATGGTGCCAGAAACGTCTGCTGTGTTCTTAAATATTCCTATAAAACATTGACGAACTTGAGACTACATATTTGCCAGATGACGTAAATAAATGAGTTTACACTTGTGGTAAGGAAAACTTATTACTTCATTAATTCTTATATTTGCATTTATTGTTCGTGCAATGAATTGTAATAACAATCTTACTGAAAGACTTAATTATATATCCGATATATTGTCTGCATTAATAACGAACATTTATACATTCCTTGATTGTATTTCGACAAAGCCTCCACTGAGCTTTTTTAACATGCGGAACTTGAAAATATGTTATAAAGGTTTTTTGCATCATTTGATATCAGTCTGGACCAGTAACCTGTGTGCAAATTTCAGACCTACTTAGTTTTTCCAGTATAATCAATTTTAATGTGCAAAATTATCTAAATATGAAAAGTGAATATTCAAAACTTTTAACTCAAATCCGGCTAGGAATTATATTAAAATCTAGTTTTGGAGATACGTCATTCTTATCTTTTGCACATTTTTTGTTCTGTGTGAATTTGATTTTTAAGGGCTTGGACTTTTTAAATATTACATCATACTTTACATGCTTTAAGATAATAACAATAATTACAAAATGGAAGTAGATATGAAAAAAAATGTCAACAATTAAAGAGAATAAAAGAGAATTGACAATAAATTATGATTTCATAAGAATTATAGTTTTGAAGGACTATGTGCATAAATTAAGAGGTTCATCTACTTAGCAACTGGATTTCAGCTTACCTTAAGTCTTTATCCGATGTTATTAAAGGGGTTGTATTTTTAAAATATACTAGTATTTAGTTTGTGCAAGTGTTATTCTCAGTAAATCATAATGATATTTCTTGTCAGATTTCAGTTATTTACATTTTGCTGTGATGGCTTTATTCTAAATATCATTGCATTTATGTTCGCAATTTAGTAATTTATAAATCGGTAATAACTAGAAAATGGAAGTGTAATCAATATGAAATGGCGTCAAGCATTTGTAATACTTAGGGAATAGCTGAGACATATTTCATAGAATCTCAAGATTTATTGCATGACAAATCATGTTACATGTCACAATTTAACATTGAAGATGTCACTTTTGAATTTTCAAATTGATTGTCATAGATTTTTTATATAATAGCAACGCAATTTCTTCGAAATTTCTTAATGTAATGAGAATTTCTTTTGTTATTGCACAAATTGAACAAAAACAAAAGTGCATATTTCTTATATACTACAGCACAGTTTGTCATAACTCTTGACAATAACAACCAGTCATAATATCCAATTTTTTCAACAATGGAAAAACAAGATTTAAAGGAAAAAGATTTGTTTCATGTGCTTAACTTTTATTGAGTAATTATATGAAATAAAATTATAGATTACAGTTTTAAACATTCTTGTCTGACAATGCTATCACAATGTATTCAAAAATCATAACATAATTAATTTACCTGCTACAATCGAAAGTGTCTGAGGTATTCCTCAATAAAAATTTCCGATTCTTTGTCTTACCTGACCAATATATTTTTTCTATATAAATTGATTGAATTAAACGACTCCCTATCACATCTGATAAGCGATCTTAATTGTATGTCTCCGATTCTTTGCTTTGTCGGTATTTTACTATCGTATGAACACATTCGCGGATATTTCTAAATTCAAAAGTTAACCATTTTCATCTTTAAATGTTGAATTCTGCTTAAACCGGTGCTAGCGGGCGTGGATGGTAACTTGCACATTCCATTACCTCTAAGAGCAGGCTCAATCAAACCGAGCCTGCAATATTTTCAAATTTATCGTTTTATACGTTCTTTAGGGATTCTTTATATTTCTCTATTACATTATGGTGCTGTTTTTGTTGTCGAGTTTTTTACAATCAAGTCCATGCATACTCTTGTCATACAAAATAAAGTATTTTTATTTTAAGATCCCTATTATTATATTAAACATGTTTATTTGCTAATTTGTCACAAAAGTTTATTATTATTTACATCATAATTTTGCAATACTCTGACAAAAAAATATTCTACACGACAGTTTTAATGTAAGAATCGGTTACAATGAATACAGATACCCTACGGTCTTTTTATGATGTAGCTTCAACGAAATCAAAACATTCTAAATACGTAGATAAATTTTTCCGTCATGAAAAAGAAGTAAAATTGTTTTATTTGATGGAATATTCATACGATCCAATCAAAGATTAAATTAAAAACAAGTTATTATTGACATTAAATTAATTATCAAAATTACCTTATTTATGTGAATGGCTACAATGTTATAGGAATAAAAAAATATCGGTTCGAATCAATGAAATACTTATTTTTTATCCATATTTATATCGCTCACAACACAATATATTACCGTATTATTTACTCTTAATTTGTTGAT